TTGCCAATGAAAAGCAACATTTGAATGACTTAAATGTTAAGAACAATTGAGGCTGAAAATAATGTTTTTTAGGGGTTGCAAATTTCTTTGCCTGCTGCTTCTGCCATTTCCATAAAGCCTAAATGTGTTATTAATTTGTTAAAGAAAATGCCAGTAGACGATGTTACTCATACAAAGTTGATGTCTGGTGGTATTTGGAACCTGGAAATAGAAACAGAAATGCTTCTAGAGGGGGAAAAGACACCATGTGTGGCAAATATGGTTTCTTTTTCATTTTAGAAAAGTGTTCATTAAAAGATATAAAATTTTGGGTGCGATTCCCCGTTCAACAGTTATGTGTTGTGCACCTACTATATGCAGGCGGAGTTCCAGGCAGTGGAATGTAGCAGTGAGAAAGTAGACAAGGCCCCTGCCCTCCGGGGTCTTCCATTCTTTGGGGAGAGGCAGAGAGCGAATAGGTAAGTGGTAGTATAAGAAAACAGTGAAAAGTGCTGTGAAGGAAGGAAACAGAAGCAGATCACAGAATATAGTGAAGAGCAGGTGGAGGTCTCTTAGATGGAAGGCCCCTCTGGGGAGAGGCCATCTGAGCAGAGATCTTAGTGCAGTGATGGAATAAGTTTGCGTTAATCTCAGTTAATAGGAGGGTAACGGAGATTGGGGGGGGGGGGTGTCTCATGATCTAATTTATGTTTTTAAGAGACCACTGTTTGTTGTATGGAAAATGCTCTGTGGGATAAGAATGGACAGAGGGTGATAGAAGCAGGGATGTCAGCCTTTCCCTGGTTCAGACAAAGAGGACTGTGTTAGCCCACATCTTTCTCATAAGAGCCACCAAGTCAGGGTTAAATGTGCCAGAATTCTGTTAGGGGAAGGGAGAGGAGGAGGGAGGGGACGGAGGGGCAGTGTCCTGACTGCCGTTCTCTGGTGGCTGCCGTGTTGGTGATTGGGACAGTGGTAGACAACAGGAAGAGAGAAGTCGACAGATTTAAAATATATTTGAAGAGACAGCTGACTTGACTTATAATAAAAAAAAATATGAGATTAGGATTAGGCTTTGGACCTGACTGTCTGAATCATGAGATGGGACCTGTGAGCTGAGAGTTTGCTAATTTTGAGTTTTCTGTTGACCTTTTCAGTGGATTCCCAAGCTTGCGAATATTATTTATCTTGGGTTCTCCTCTCCCTTCCTACAAGATTTGGAGAGCTTCCTCAACTTACATGCTAGAAGCAGGAAAAAGAAGGAAACAGTGATAGAAAACAAATGTGCTAAATGAGAGAGGTCTTAGTTGTCCATAATTCCCAAGGCTCTAGCATGTGGAGCTTGGAGTTCCCGATGGTAAGGTAACCATTTCATTTACCTTGATGGGTGAGCTGGGGACATTCTTTTTGCTTTAGGTCATTCCGGTCTCCTACAATTAAAATGCACCTGAATCCCTAGATTACTGTTTTAAATGTTAAAGGTGTTTTAAGCACTTAAGGGGATAAAATACTTGAGGTACACGATGGAAGAGTCCTGACGTCAGGCCACACAGAGATGGCAGGGGATTGGATTTAGAGGAAGCCCAAAGATACAGCACTAAATACTCATAATTTTAGGTCCATGTAGTTCGGTAAGTAGCAACAAGACACTTGGACAGCATTGCAGGTTCTTATTCGCACGGATTTCACAAGAACACTATTTAGTCCAATTTGTGTTGGCCAAGAGCTGAGTCAAGTTTCTTATGTGTGTGTCTAAATAACTCAAGGTAATGGAACCATTCTTCAAGTCATTACGGTTTTCAACAATCTACTTTGCTTAGGACCTAAGTCTCCTATGCTCATTGAACAAACGTGGTTTACTGATCACTTGCCACATGCCAGGCCCTGTCAGGTGCTGAGCCCGAGAGCCAGCGGTCCTTGGTCAGCAGAGGAATCTCACATCTATAGGCTACGTGTGCTGGGGGTGCTGCAGTGTGGGGGGTGCTGCGTCGCCGATGTTCACAACATCTTCAGAAAGCACGGAGAAGGAAGCCACTCTCCTGAAGAGACAACGATGTTTCAGTCCCAATCGAGGAGTAAGTGTGGTCAGGCCGAGGAAAGAAGAGTGTTATGTTACCAGGCGACGAGAGCACGCGGGGCACGTCTGGAGCGCCTCCGGTCCAGGGCCGCGGCGGAACACCAAACCCAGCGGGGTGGACGCTGGCAGCGCTCGCGTGCTCTGCCAAGGACTGAGGACTCGTCCTGGGGACGATGTGGGCTCCTGGAGAGACTGCCAGTGGAGAACGATCGTGAAGTTTCCATTTAAGGAAGGTCACGGCGGTGGCAGTGTGGGAGTCCAAGGGCGCTGGGCGGACCGCGGACAGAGCTGGGGGGACTGAGGACCTGAACCGGGAGGGACAGAGGGGACGGAGGACGCAGGAAGCTCAGTGGGCAATTTTTGGGTTTCAGATCGGAGACTTGAGACTCAAAGAGAGAGGGAAGGGGAAATGAGATGATTTTGAGGTTTCTAGTTTCTATGTAGGCTGTCGAGAGCGTGTTTGGGTGAAAGAGTCAGGCGAGTGGAAATACCAGCTTTCTCGTTTGGTCACTTGGATGTGTTACTTCATTTCTACCCCATATACAAATGGGGGCGAAGAATCCGGCTTTTAAGCATTTTGCTGATCCAATGTTGGTGCTGTCCATCGAGTAGAATTAAAAATACGGAAGGAAGGGCAAATTTGGGACAAAAATAGTGGTTGTCTGGATATCTAAGATAATAAATATTTATTACACAAACACTGTATATGCACTTTCTTTTGATTTTTTTTCCCTGAGACCTCACAACACTCCTACGGGTAGTAGTATTGGCGTCGTCTTACGTGAGAACATTTCAAGGCTGAGAGGGATCAAGTCACTTTACTAAGACCACCTAGAGCTGGAACTTGAATCTGAGCTGAAATTAATTCTGATTCTGGAATATGTGTTTAATTACCACACTCCGCAGCCTCTCAAATCTTTTTTCATGAGCATATACATATAAGAGTTGACTAATTCAGAGCTTCAGAGAACTTCCCATACCCTGTGTAGCAGCCCTTTCTATTTGAAAAGAATTTCTGGGTGTAACCTATTAAGTTGAGTTTATGATCTTTTTATGGGTCCTGACCCACAATTTGAAAAACATAGGGATAGAGCTAGAAAAGACTAAAAGGGATTTCTGTGGTTTCTGTCATCAGGTGGCATTTGTTCTTTTGTTATTTTTGTAGTTTCATGTTTTAAAACTTATCTTTACTGTGATTGTGCAGGGAGGGTGTTACTCCTCCAGCGACTGTGGGGGATAAACCTGCTTGGCTCTTGGCCTCTGTTCAGGCTTAGAAAAGGGGAGTAAAAATGTTGTCACTGGTGACCTTGGCAAGTGGTAGCCCTTGTGGTCCAAGTATTCTCTCACTAATCCCTCCCTTCTGTAAACTGCAGTATTTAATCCTCCCAAGGCTTTGTGTGTCCCCTCCCAACATGTGACAGGCTGAACTTGTCTTTGCACCTGCAGCACCTAGTCAGTGCCTGGAACAGAGTGGAGACCCAGCGTGTGCCCGAGGACAGAGGCACACCGGTGAGCTGGCCTGCGCTTCCTCAGCGTGGACCCCGCCTCTGCCACTCCGAGGCCAGCTGCTTGAAGCCTGGCAGCTGGACAGCGGGGTGCCAGCCCGGACCTATTCTGTGGTCACGGGCTCAGGCCTGCTGGCTTTACAAGAAAAAGGGGATTCATAGATTTTGAGATTTTTAGTTCAATTCCACCACTGTTCTCCCAAATACCAGCTAGAAAATTAAATTTGAGAAGCATAAGCGTACTGTTCTGACATCATGAAAAATACATAAAACTTTGAGAGCATGGAACCTTTTGAAGGGTTTGATGAAGACTACCGTTAATAAATCTTAGACCTTCTGAAGAGAGATTAGTGAAGAAGAAAATAAACATACTATGTATTGTGATAATTGTCCCCAAAGAATATATATCTTAGCCAGGTAGAGGATAGGGAGAGTTTGAGGGGGGAAAATACATATATATGTAACACCCTCCCTGCACAATCATATGTGTATATATATACATATAAAATACATATACATATATGTGTGTGTGTGTGTGTGTGTGTATGTGTAGATACACACACGTAAATGTGTGTAGATATATAGGTACATACATCGATAAATAGCCCTTATTCACGGGGAAAGAAACTGAGAGCTATTCTAAGGCCTGATGTCACAAAATATGGATTTTTGCTGCTTTTGTTCAGAATGAATGTAAAAGAACATTTGATAGAGATTAGTGCATTTCTGAGACATAATGAATTAAATGTATGTGATTAAAAAAAAACCCACAAAATTATGCTTGAATACTTAACCCCTTTAAAAAACCGCTTGTTACTTGGACACTGCAGTTGAGCACCTATAACTGAGGGCAAAGGAACACCCACCTCAGCCAAGAGAAAACAGGCTTAGCTTGCAACTTGAGAAATTTAAGATCGTTATAGGAATGCATTTTTACTAAAAAACATTGCTAAATCAATGCAGGCAAATGAGGACCTGTCCTATTTCTGCTCACTGGAGAGGAGATTAGGCTGTTTCTTGGTAATCCAGTCCCAGGTGTGTGTTCCCATTGAGCAGAAACAATGGGCCAGGTGACCTTCCGGGTCCTGCCCAGCCCTGCGATCCGGCTTCACATCTCCCCTTTCAGCATCGGGCCACACGGTGGCCAGGACTCGTACTCTGCAGGCCGGCCACTGAAAGCCCATCACGGCATGCTGACAGGTAGCTGAGAAGATGGGGACCATGTTTTCTGAGAGTTCATTTAAAATGAGAACCATTTAATCAGTTCATATAGGTTTCTTGATATAGTTTAACTTTCTGTTAGCTGACTGTATGCAAGTGCCATTTCTGCAGGTTAGAGAGGGCTGTGTGGTCAAGCTGTGCAGTTCAGAGTATATCCCTGCTTGGTATGTATCTTGTATTTTGCTTTGATCGTTGTGCTTTTTTTTCTTTTTTTCCAGCAATTGGGAGCAGTAGCTTCAGCCCCAGACCAAGTCACCAGTTCTCCCCACCACAGATCTACCCCTCCAAGTAAGATGTATTTTCTCTCAATAAGTAGCTTTTCTGAGTAGTCTTTTATCTTATTTCCAGTCATGTCTTGTGCCCACGTTACATCTGACTTTAAACTCAAGTGCATTTCATAGAGACTTAAGTATTGACGCGCATTTATTTTGGGCCTCACTCGGTGGAGACTGAGTATTTCAGCACTTTGTATCTTACATGTGAGCAGTATACTTGAAGAGACAGTCTAACTGGAATTTGTGAAATGCTTGTGAATCAGTTTCCTTGCATGTTTCCATCTAATGCATGGGCTTTCATTTTCTGTCATTTCTGACAAATAGCAGAGCATACCCACATATTCTCCCTACCCCTTCCTCACAAACTATGGCTGCATATGGGCAAACACAGTTCACCACAGGAATGCAGCAAGCGACCGCCTACGCCACCTACCCACAGCCGGGACAGCCGTACGGGATTTCCTCCTATGGTGAGTGAGCTGGCTTTTCACTTTAGGGGTGCCATTATCTAGTGGGATACCTGAGTGGCACTGAAAGACTGTCACCTTGGGCCACTTTAGAAAATGCTGTCACTTCTTGTGTCTACGTTCTTAATCTGATTGTTTCAAATGAACATTGTAACTGGTGACTACTTATCTTGAGGTCAGAGGTGGCAGAGATGGCATGGTTCGTATGCCCTCTTGCTCTCATTTTATTCCATTTATATCTCCACTCTTAATTTGCCATTGGAGCACTTGGCTCTGGAATCCCAAGTATGTTGGTGCATATTTGCGATAAAACTGTGAATGAAGTCTTTTGGGGTAAAGATTCATTTCCTATTTATCAGATGCCTGGCTATGATTAGAGAAGTACAAGCGGAATTCAACAAACCCTTGCTCTAAGCTTGAGGGTGGTAGGCTTATCGAATTTCAGCATTATCAACCGTTAGGAAAAGTGAGCTACATATCTCGGCTTGGGCTGCACTTTAAAGAGACCAATCAGGAAGTATTTCAGGCTCACCTCCCCGTTTGTTCCTCCTCACCTGGAGATTATCTTTATCTTGGTGTAATTTAACTCAGTTGTTACAGGGTCAATACCTGTAAATTACAAATAAATCAGGTAAAACCTCAAAGTTGAGTTTGAAATTCAAAATACCTTTTCTTCTTTTCGATTGCAGCCACCCGCACAACCCATTTGAATAGAAAACTGTGAATTATTGCCATTTTGTTAAGAAAAAATAAAACCTTATCCAAAAAAAAGTACATAACTTTTAGAGGAAAGAACTGGTAAAATAAGTACTCCTGTGCTTTATTGCACAGAATTATATTTTGTGATCAATATTCTAATTATGTTTCTGCTGCTAATGTTTTGTACTTTTTTTGGCAATATATTGAAGAAATGTTTTTGTTTAAGCATTTCATTAATATTTAGAAAGTAAATTACTTCATTTATTTTATTTTCTGTCTTTACACCAAGCCAAATTAACTATCTATAAATTTCTTATAAAATACATAGAAATTGAAATCAAAATTATCTCTATATGACTTCACCCTTTATAGTTTATTTTAAAACTATCAGAACTGAATGTGATCTAGCTAAATGTTTTTAAACCAGACTTTAAAAACAACCATAAAATGGGCTTCCTGGAATTTTTTCATTTCCATAATTTTGATTCAAGGTTTCTCAAAATAATATTAGCTGTAGATCAAATTTATAATTTACTTTTTTTTTTTTTTAAGAAAAATTGGGTTTATTTAAAGAAAAGATGATGGGGGTGGGGATAACTTACTTTTTTTTTTTAATCCTCACCCGAGAACATTTTTCAATTTTTTGTTCAGAGTGGGAGGGGGGGAGAGAGAGAGAGAGAGAAACATCGATGTGAAAGGGACACATCGAGTGGTTGCCACCCACACGACCCAACCAGGGCCGGGGACAAACTGCTACCGAGATACATGCCCCTAGTGGGAACCGAACCCGGGTCTGTCTGTACTGCAGGCCAACGCTCTAACTGCTGAGCCAAACTGGCCAGGGCATAACTTACTTTTAAACCATTTTTTTTGCTGAAGGGGAAAAAGGATCTCTGATTTCAGTTGTGTAGCTTTAATTCTGTACTGTGAGTTAAGGATTCCCCAATTTATATTCTCCAATTTTACTGTAAACTGATGACGTGAAGTTTCAGCGCGCTTCCCGGTGCAGACGATGCTCCAGCACCGCGGACCTGCCAGGGCGGCCGTGGGAAGGCGCCGGTCCTTGGCTGCCTCACAGCCGCGCTCTGTTCCTCCAGTCACGGCGGGGCCCGCTGCCAACCTCTGGGCTGTGGGGTAGGGACTCCTCCAGTTTTAAACCATTAGCAAATGTCCCTGCTGTCTGCAAGAGTTGTTCCTGGTGGGTGCGATGAGCAGAGTTCCTGAGATTAGAATCAGAACTAGTAGAGTAAGGACAGGAAATTTAATAGGACAGGTGGGCATGGGGGTGGGGCAGCGGTCAGAGTAGGGCCCAGTGGAAAGGGCTTTGAGCCCCTGGGCAGTCCATACTCATAAATCTGTAGCATTTTCCTGATCATCATCTTCTCTTTTTGGACCTTGACTACCAGGAGATGCCCCCAGTGCTTCGGACCAGCCCTTCTGTTTTTTCCTTGGGTCACTGTATCGAACACTATGGCAGCCTGGTCCCCATTGCCTAAGCACACCGTTCAGGATTTTTAACTGCTGATCGTCAAGGTCCTGATGGTGTTAGAAGATTTTCTCCAAGGATTTGTGCCCCTTGCCTTTTCACTTAGACCTTGTAAGAGAAGATGGGCAAATGTTTTCATAGTAAGAACAGTAGGTGAGTGGGAAGAAGAGCTCATACTGTTCTTCACCAGATCTGCTTGGAGTGGATGAGATGGATTTGCTAGTTTGTGGGGAGGAGCTATGGAGATAGGCGTGGCCATGGGCGTTTTCTGCCTCTTTCTGCTTCTCCTTCCTGTTCCCATCCCTCCAGGCTAACAGAAGTGGCACAGGTAAAGAGGGAAGCAGATCATTACAGCCTTAGTGGAGAGAGAAGGGGGACAATCCCTATTGTGACAACATGGAAGGAGGGAGGTTCTAGAGCCATCAAACCACCTGCCCAGGACAGTCGTTTTTCCAGGGACCATTTACACATATGGGTTATTCATTGGTTTGGGATATACAGTGAAAAGAACATTTTTTTAAATGTTAAAGTTCAGACTTAAATGTCAAGACCAGTATGAGGTTACTTAGTGACCCTGCAGGAACGAGAGGAGGCTCGCTCAGCCAAGTCAGATCCTTCTACTGCCTTAGGAAAGTTACCTAACTCCATGCTAAGGATGAAACTCCCCTAAAATGGAAATAAACAGTGAGACTGCTCTGTATTCCAGATCCCAAAGATATCATTTATCTTAAGTGCAAAGTACAATAATTTAAAAATATGAATTCCCTTGCCAGAAATTTTCCTCCTCTCCCTCTTGGGGAATTAAGGACAGTTGTGAACGCACATGACTGTCTTTCATTATGACCCAGGGCTGAGCCGCACAGCAATCCTGCCAGACCCAAGTCCTGAAATTAGGATAGCAGCCCGATGCTTTAGGAAGTCCTTGGAGGCCACAAGTACATTATTTATATTACAATAGGATAAAAAGAATGTTTACTTTAGGCTACACTTGAAACAATTCTATTTGAATTGTAATAAGGATGTACGGTGCCAGGTGGGTACTAGATTCAGAGTGATCACCTCATACATTATGTAAATGTCTAATCATTGGTGTATACACCTAAAACTAATATAATATTTTACATCAACTGTAATTAAAAACTAAAAAAATATTTACTTTAAAAAATTTTTTAAAGTATACAACTGAATTTAAAAATGTCAACCTTAAAAATTATATTTGAGCCCTGGCCAGTTTGGCTCAGTGGTTAGAGCGTTGGCCTGCGGTCTGGAGAGACCCGGGTTCAGTTCCCTCTAAGGGCATGTACCACGGTTGCAGTTTGTCCCCGGCCCTGGTTGGTCGTGCGGGTGGCAACCACTCGATGTGTCCCTTTCACGTTGATGTTTCTCTCTCTCTCCCTCCCTCCCGCTCTATCTGAACAACAACAACAACAACAAAGTGGAAAAATGTCCTCGGGGGAGGATAAAAAAAAATTTTTTTAATTATATTTGAATAAATACTTGAAAATGCAAGGGACAAAACGGGAACTGCTGGGCAACTTCACTTGCTTCTAAGTCTCTGTTGTTCTGCAGGATTCAATTCTTAATACCCTGCCTTCTGTGTACGAACTTCCTGCTGGATCTGAACATTGGAAAAGGCCTTCCCTTGGGTGGCTTACTTCTGTGCCCAAAATTACTTCCTCAGACTTCAAAATAAGTGTGGACTGAAACAATCCTTGTGGTAGAAAGACTAAGGAAAAAAAATATGCAGTGAGGCATTTTTAGGAAAAAAAAGGATTATAATTCTGATATTAATCAACATAGCAACTTTTAGAATAATTTAAAGTTTAGTTATGACCATTTCTTGACTACAGAGGAGATGATCTTAAACTCTTGTAAAACAACAAAACCAGGCACAAAAGTGGTATCACTGGAGTTCAGTTTTATATGGAATTCAGAAGAACACTAAGAAAGAACAATGTGAGTAGGCATTCAAATCTGTAATAATCGGTTTTATTTTATTTTATTTTTTTAAAGTTACAGTTTAGGGTATTTTGCTCTAAGCATATATACACTTGACTGTTGAGATAATAGTGGGAAGCATTTGTGACAAACAGTTGTGGGAATGTTTTTGTATATTTACCAGCTTTTGAAAAGGAGCAGATAGATAAGCTATCACTAACTGATTTAGGTGCATTGTGGGCAGGCATCAAGACTGAAGGTGGATTGTCGCAGTCTCAGTCACCTGGACAGACAGGATTTCTCAGCTACGGCACGAGCTTTGGTACCCCTCAGCCTGGACAGGCACCGTACAGCTACCAGATGCAAGGTCTGTATGCCCACCCGCGTTGCTCTTGCCATTATCCCTGGAGGTCAGTAGGTACCTTCTACAGTAGAGCCTGATGTTCTATGGAAGCAGTACATGATGGTGGAAAGTGCACTGGGCTTAGAGGCAAGACACCTGATTTTACTTTTGCTCTTCACTTACCTACTCTCTGGACCTAAATGTGCACACTTATAACATCAAGGGGTTAGAGTGGATGATCTCTCAGATTCTGTTTAAAACGCTCTAAAAGTCTTTGTGAACTCAACGTTTTCTGCCCCGGCTTCTTGTGATATATGCTAAAAACTCTGGCTCTTGGTTCAGCCAACCAACCTTTCTAATAGTTAAGTTTTCTTCATTTTGATGATCATAGCTCTAGAAATAGAGTATGTGACGTGCGTTGACTAAATGATCTATCCAAGATCGGGAGGAATTGACAGCCACTCAGTGGATCTTCAAAGTGGTGCTTCCAAGGAGCTGTCCCCAGGTTCTGATTTTGAAACTGGAGACCAAACGTAGTGTAAGTGCCCGCCTGCGGCCGCTAGGTTGCCAATCCAACATGGACTAAGCACAGAAAATTTCAAGTTAAGCATTTAGACACCTTTCTGTTATGTCAATAGTAAATCTTATGTTGGTTCAATCCAATATTAATTTTATGAAATGGGGCTTGTACTCTCTGTCTTTTCATTTTTCATTTCATTCCGTTAGTAATATATGAGTATTGTATTTTTGCTAAATTGTCAGTTCAGGAAGGATTGGGGGGCAAACTGGTCCTATACCCCAGAGAGTCTGAGAAATCTTACATTTGAGAGTCACTTTTATCTTTCTGTCCTCAGATCATTAGCATATGCAGCAGGAACTGTTCTAGGAGGAGAACACTATCAGAGCGCAAGCATAGAGTTAGAATAGAGAGGATAGGAGTGGAGGAGGAGGAAAGAAAGTTAACTTGGAGGGGAAAAACACCTCCTTATTTACAAAAAGAAATGAGGACGTTTATAGCGTCAAGTGGAGGATTGCTTGTCTACACACAGGTTTCATTGCGTCTGAGCTTATTGGATATTGCATTAGAACTTGTTTGTGTTTTTTGTGTATCCCTTTGTTGAATGGCTTTTCAAGAGGTATTTTAGAACTCATTTTCTGTGACTGAGTGAATATTTCATATGGGTATTTCTATAAAGGCACGTCACTCAACTTTAGATTACTGGATATAATATGATTTCCACATAGCAAGCCAGATAATATGCTATTAACTTGAAACTTAACTGGCCGAAATGACGATGAATAATTATATATTATATGCTAGATTCCTTATGGCCAAATTTAGATGCATAATTACATTCTGTTTAATATGTATTTGTTAAATATTAAATGCATGGTGAAAAATGCCCCACCATTATCAAAAGATTTGGTGTGCCTTGTGGTGGGAGTCTATTGAGGTTTGAGTGTCTTTTCAACACACCTTCTTTTAAATATAAAAATTTCTATGATCTCGAAGATTAACTTTACGAAATTCTCCAAAATCTGTTATTTTAAATGAATGCCAGTGATGTTTTGCTTATATCAATCTCACCATGTGCTAATACTCTGCAGCACGAACAGTTCTAGGAGGACACACCTCCTGGAGTAAAACCTCAGGGCCTGGAAAGTGGCTTTCACCTCCGCTGCAAGAGCGCTGGAAGATTCTGTTTCTGCGTTATCTCTTTTGTACATTTACTAACAGGTTAGAAATTTAAGCTTAACTGAGAAAGACAAAATGTTTTTGTTCATAGACAACTATAGAGTCCACCCCAAGGAAGGGAAATCTTTATTAGTTTTTGACATCTTCCTGCTCCCAGGGTCAGGCTTTGTGTTTCTGGAAGAAGTTTTTGAATGGTGTGTGGAGGTCTTTCTTCACACACCATTGACAAACCTTATGCAAATAAGTGAGCAGCGGAACGGGTGAGTGTGGACAGACAGGGTGCCTGGAGACCCCAGGGTCAACTGTGCTGATGGTGTAGATAGTCTTTCCAATGCTGCTGGCCAATCAGAGGGCACTGACAGCGAGAATGAAGCAGAAGGTTGTGTGTGGGTGTGTGTCTGTGTGTGTCAGTGTGTTTCAGTGTGTCAAGGCGTATCAGTGTGTGTATGAGTGTGTCAGTGTGTGTGTGTCAGTGTATGTGTGTGCACTTGCGTGTGTGTACGTGTGCTTGTGCCCATATATACATGTACTAAGGGCAGAAAAATGAGTTGGGAGAAACTGCTTCAGCCTTTGACTTATTGCCCAGTTTCACAGAGTATTTGCCCAGTTTGCCATAAGCAAGTTTTATTCTTTTATGTAAAGAGGCATCTGAATTGAAATCAAGCGTTAGTTGTAATTTTCATAAAATGGAAATCTAGACCCATTGCTGGTGTTGCCATCCATTGACCCCCCCCCCCCCAAGATGACACGGCGTAGACTTAGGCTGAGTCATAGGCAGAAAATGAAATTTCTTTAACAGCCTGTTTGAGGCAAGGAAGTGCAAAAGATTTTCTCACACACACACACACACACACACACACACACACAACAATTGAAATTGAGTCGTCACTTAATTGGTTAAGCTTCAGCTTTGGGGGGAAAAACACCCAGCTTTTTATAATAACTTAGTTCTGTTGATTCCAGACATTTGCACACAGAGACCATCTTGACTCATATTTTCACCTCCACTATCTAGGAAAATGTCTAAACTTTACAGATGTTTGTTTGAAGTGGAGAGGCCTATGCTACAATGACAGCTAGAAATTAAGATTCCTAAGGACTCGAGTTCTCTTCATTTGGAAAAATGAATTTGGAAGCCAGCATGATAAACATCCCGATTAGTGTACGATCGTGGGATCGTTAAAGCCTTCTTCCCTGTGTTCCTGCTAGTAGGTGGCACGGAGCTGGTTGGAGCCATCCCAGCACCAGTGGCGGCTCAGAATGTCATTCGAGTGTTTTATTGCCTCAGAGGAGCAGTGACGTGCAGGACGTTCCTGTCCTTCTGCACCAAGGATGGGTCAGGAGTTGCCCTGATGGGTGGGTGGGGCTGCACAGATGCACGTGTGCAAGACCAGAGGCCCTGGAAACGCCACTTTGTTTATTTTCCTTTGGGCTCTGTTGCTCTCGGTGGAGAAGAAAATAACACAAAGTCTAACTCCCTCTTTGTATACAATGTTGGTTGTTCTGTTAAAGAGCTTGGGGTTCAAGCCAGTGAGGAGAGGCAGTAAGTTATGGGCAGAGGCTTGGAAGGGCGCGCAGCCCCACAGCAATCCACACCACACTTAGTGGGGCTCCTTAAGGAGTGGCCGTGAGCTAATAATAATAACCTGATGAGGGACACACCCTCGCTTCCTTTGGGCTGTCTGTCATACCCTTTCGAATAGATGAAGTGTGTCCACTTATCAGTCATTTAGAACATCGAAACTGCTTAGCAAAAGGCACCGCTCAAGTTTTCCATTAACTACAGAAATGGTATTTTTCAAAAGAAAAAATACGCAAGTCCAAAATATAGGGTTTTAAGAAAATATGTATTAAACTTTTTCTATAATCTGCTGTGATCAAGTGGTTGAGATTTGCACTTTCTGATGTAAAATGACACAGTAGGGAAGAGCTACTGTTGCAGCCAGCTCTGATATTCACATTTTTTCCACAGTTGCTTGGCAACTTTACTTGTACCTATACTTTAGATTGTGGGTTTGGTTTTGTTTGCATTCTGGAATTGTGTTTCTTAAGTTGATTTTTAAAATAATATCCCATTTTGGCTTTTTTAGCATGTGATATTTCAGTTGAAAGTTGTGTGGAAATCTTTTGCAGTCCATTCATACCAATAATTAAACAGTGATTCATACCAATATTATTGTTTATATGAGTTGGTTTGCAGTTAAAATATATAGAAATAGATCAAGAAAGGTCAATGCAAAGGCTTTACAATCTTTCTTACCTAAGTTAAAATTTCTCTTTAGAATATAGAAACTGTCACCGGGAGAAAAAGGAAAACTTGGACACCGAAAATGTGTCTTACAAGAAAGGAGGAAGCCCTGGTTTTCAATAGCCCATCTGGCCTTCAAAGGCTTTTCCCCAGGGAGCTGCGCGAACTTCGGCCACCTAGACCGCCCGATGACGGACACAGGCCACGGCGAAGAGGCCAGGGAGGGAGAGCAAATTGGGCTTCTGTAAAAATACACAAGGGATAAAGAGCATCCTGCTTGCCCAGTGAGTGCTAGAAAATGCTCAGAAACATGGGAAATACAGACAGGCCCCAGCAGGTTCCAGCACTCTCGTGTTGGCTGGGACTCTGGCATTTAATGTGAGCCCTTGTTCCCTGTGAAGTAGACCTTTGACCTACACAATACCTTTTCTCTCTTTTTTTTAAGTTTTTTGAAGTTATAGCTGGGCAACGTTCTCCAGGCTAAATCGCACACCACACTTTGACGTAGCATTTTAAATCATGCTATAAATCACCACAGACTGGGTTCTTTTTAACTGTAAAATGTAGTAGGGATTTTTTAATAAAAATTTTAATAAAAAATTTTGAAACTATAGTGGCTTAGCACCTAGCAAGACTGTTTCTTTTATTGTTGTTAGTCCTCACCTGAGGATATTTTTCTATTTATTTTTAGATAGAGATAGAGTGGAAGGGAGCGGGAGAGAAAGAGAGACACATCAATGTGAAAGAGACATATCAATTGGTTGCCTCCCACACGACCCTGACCAGGGCCAGGGATCAAACCTGCAACCCAGGTTTCGAACCTGGACCAGAAATCGAACCTGAAACACTGTGGTGCTTGGGCTGTCGCTCTAACCACTGTACAACACCAGCCAGGACAATAAGACTGTTCCTTGTTCGTTAGTTGACGAGACCACCACCTTTCTTTCTGACAAGGAAACAGAATCTTTATGATACACTATCCCTGGTGGCTTTCTAGCATTTATTTTACTTAAAATTATTTGCCTAAAAAGGGAGTTGCAATAATAGTGTGATTCTAAATTTATGTACTAAATTTCTCAG